ACATCAGTGTGTTTTCTGGTGAAAAAGCATTTCGACCAAACGCACCTAAAAAGGCAGACGTGGTAAAAGGTTCTGTATGCTATTCGTGAAATTGAAAATGCACGTGCATATCGTGACAACCCAATGAAAGCGCGCCCCAAACTCACCTGAAATCAATATTTGTTTTGACACAATCGTCATGGCACGATTTACGAGAGATCAGATGAACCAAGTCTTGTGACGATTGCAAGTTGGCCAGACTGCCAATCATGTTAATGTTTATGTTAGGACAATCTACCGACTGCAAGAGTGGTATCGGGTCACTCACAGCATCCAAGACCGTCTACGCAGTGGGCGACCTTCAGTAACATCAAAACGTCAAGACCGACAGATTGTGTGCCACTATCTGCAGGGTTGCTTCCCCAGAGCGACGGAAAGAGCACGCCAGACCATTGGGACTCACAACAGACCCATCAGTGCCGATACAGTGCGCCGGCGTTTGCGCGGAAGAATCTGTGCTGTCACGGACCATATCGTAGTCCTGTCCTCACCACTCATCACCGCCAAAACTGACTGCAATGGGCAACTCAGCATCGAAATTGGCGTTATCGACAATGGAGAACTGTGTTTTTTCTCATGAAAGCCGATGGCAGAGTGAGAGTATGGTGAATGCGTGAGGAACTGTTTTCCAGTGAGTATATTGCTGAAAGAGACTCGTGGGGTGGTCCAAGCATCATGGTGTAGGGTGCAATCGGTCTGAATCAGATAGCTGGCACCATGGTGTTCCAGCATCTAGGTCCAGGATGAGGAAATGACGTGACAGTTGCTCGCTATATTGACCAAGTCATAAAACCCCACGTTGTACCACATTTTGGACATTACAGAAATCACATCTTCCAGCAAGACAACGCTCGTGCCCACACTGCCAGAGTGACATTAGACTTCCTAAAACAACATGGCATCCAAACAATAGCCTGCACTCAGTCTTGATTTGAGTCCAATAGAACACCTTTGAGACAAGATTCAAAGAAGACTGAATTACCCAAGGCCTGGACTCGATCAGACATTTCACAGAGTATGGACCCTAAGTGCTTATGGCCTTCATCAACCGGCTAATTCATTCCATGTACATTCGATGATGCAACGCTTTCATCGATGCTTATAGAGGCCACACACAATACTGACTTTGGGGTATCTTAATGGTACCATTTTTGGTGATTTTGTTTGTGTGAACTCTAAATGTGATTCCCAAAAATGTGTTAACCATAATTGTCAAGTTTGAACTCAATCCTTCGTTTTGATTGTTCATTCGAGTGAATTATAGTGCGTGCTGTAAGAAACCGCTATCAGTGCGACATTTCTTTTGTGGTTCAGTATATATATATAAATGTGTGTGTGTGTGTGTGTGTGTGTGTGTGTGTGTGTGTGTGTGTGTGTGTGTGTGTGTGTGTGTGTGTGTGTGTGTGTGTGTGTGTGTGTGTGTGTGTTTGTGGGCCTGTGGCTTTCATATGCAATAAAGATTTTGATGATGATGATGTGTCCACGTGGATGTGAGACAGGCTGGACAACGGTCACGTGTGAGAGAGGTACGCGAAGCGTGTCGACATTTCTGAAAGAAATGAACATTGTTACCGTGGGTGAGTGAGTGAGTGAGTTAGGTTTTAGGCCGCTTTTAGCAATATTCCAGCAATATCACGACAGGGGACACCAGAAATTGGCTTCGCATATTGTACCTATGTGGGGAAACGAACCCTGGCCTTCGACGTGACGAGCGAAAACCTTAACCAGAGGGCTACCAGACCGCCCCAGTGTTACCGTGGTTGTATATAATTAAAACCGTTAGTGAGTGAGTGAATGAATCGCCGCTCTGAATATGTTCTAATTACATGACGGTGTTAAACTGGTAGGACAGCGTAGGTTTCAGACCTTTACCGCTTTGTTGAATCCAGGAGCACGCGTATGGTGCAGACAAACTTAGAAACATAACCAGGGCGAAACGGCGAAACTCACAATCATAGGTTTCTTGCATGTCCAAGGGACACAACTCTGTACATATCAACTGTTCATGAAAGATTTTCCTCTGCAGATCCGTAAAGAACCTGGTTAGAATTGGTCTTCAGCAACCCATGCTTGTCGTAAGAGGCGACTAACGGGATCGGGTGGTCTGTCTCGCTGACTTGGTTCACACAAGTCATCGTATCTCAATTGTGTAGACCAATGCTCATGATATTTATCACTGGATTGTTATCACAGTCTCGATTATTTACAGACAGCCGCCATATAGTCGTGATATTGCTGAGCGAGGCGTTAAACAATATGGGTGGGTATTGCAGAGAATTTTCATATTGCGATATATTGCGATGCGAAAGCTTATATTGCGATATGTATTGCAATATATTGCAAGAAGTTTTTTTAACAATAAACTACTAATGATCAAGTTAACGCTTTATTTACAAAGCAAAAACACAACAAAATCACAATGCTTCAATAAGCTTTAATAAAAACTTTTAATCATGGCAAAATAAGAATATAGATAATAGTTAAATGTAATTTTCACCACAATCATTCCCACCACCATTACCACAATTGCCAAAATCATCAAGGTTTCCGAGTTTTACGAAGTCAAATGTCAAAATACCGGTTTTCTATCAGGGTATCGCAATACGTATCGTTTTCATGTCTGAACCGGTTAATACCGGTAAACCGGTTATATTGCGCAGCCCTATTATACAACCAACCAATCATCTGCAATTACCCTACATTGTAAGTAGCTTCCTCTAACGTTGAACACATGAACAGTGTTTACTATGTTTGAATGTTTAAATGTGTGTTTTATTATTTTATTACAATTCAGAGTTTGAAGTGACTGGTGCAACAGTTTGCATATGTGAAAGATATGTATGCCCTTTTAAACCTACTTATATATTACAAAAATGCAACATTGGACGAAAAGTTGAAACGTAAGCCGTTGCTCGTGTGCGTAGCGAGGTTGTCTTTCATCCTCGTCATGAACTGTATCTTGTTCGGGATGCACATGTTTCTGCTTCTTGTGTTGTTACAGGAGACCGTATAACTCGAAACTACGCTCGTTGGTCGCGCCCTACAAGGATCCATCTATTCCGGAACACACAGATACAGATTACGGCAGTATGACAACGTTAGTGACTGAGTGAGTGAGTGGGTGAGTTAAAATTTAACGTCACTTGGGCAATATTTCAGCCATATCGTGACTAAAGCAAGTTATAGATTAATAATGATTACTGGTAAATTATAAAAACATGTCAACGAAGAACAGTAAAACAACTAGATGATCACAGATATAAATTTAAAACTAGTCATTAAATCTAAAACAGTTATATACATGACAATATATTGGCTATAGATTGCCAACAACCGAAGGTAGATCACCATACTAGGGACCATGGGGACTTACAGTACATTTGCTTCCTGCTTGGACACCAGCTGGATTTACACCATCCCTTCAGCAATTTTGGACAATCGAGCCATAAATTAAAGTAACATATATACTACGGTTAAAAATAGTAGCATGTTTAAATTTACTTTAATTGTTTGGGGACTTACATGTATGACTCCCACTAGGGGAGTTTTGGTTGATATGAATATTCCAAGGTCCTCGTGACAACTTTGATATTCCTGATGCTGTCTTATTCTATCAGTGGAGTCAGGGAGAAAGTGACAACACGAAGTATAAAACTTGGACTCCAATTCAAACCTGTGCAAATCATGAATATGAATAAGCTACTACTTTGATAAAATATGGTTACCGACCTTCACTTCACTGAGGTGGACGGACCTAATGAGAATAGCATAAGAGCTTTAATGATGTTACTTAGCCTACAACTGCTTAAATATCTTATGCAGCCTGAAATGAGAAATGTGATTATTATCAATACATCAAGGAGGATTATTGCTATATAAATATGAAATTAATACAATACATAATTAGTAGTTACTGCATTATTTCATATATACAAATGACATTGTTTACAATATATTGAAGTAATACAGCTGATGAGCATGCTGAGTATGTACAGAATTACATTCCACAATACGACTGCGGGGACACAATGACGACGAGCAATATGTTTGAGCATAGTAAACATTTGCTGACTATCTTTGAACTCTTTATAGGCCGGAAGCGCAAGTTTGTTTGTCACTTGTTTAACGCCGCACTCAGTAAATAATCGAGTTTGGACCAGACAATCCAGTGATCACAGCATAAGCATCGATCTATACAATTTGGATACGATGCCATGTGTCAACCAAGTCAGCGAGCATGATCACCTGATCCCGTTATTCAACTCTTACGACAAGCGTGGGCTACTGAAGAGCAGTTCGGATCTTCACGGGTGGAAAGCGCAAGTAAACATTAACTAATGAGTAGGCGTTACTATTTCTCTGGAATCCTTGTGTGGGAGGAAATAACTACTTGATGATCTTCTTAGAAGTTTGTATCTTTGGTCAAATCAAGCTACTGAGAAACCTGGAATTAAGGAGGATTCGAACCCACAATAAATGGCTTCTGACACCTATAAGGGACAAAACTTTGCATCGCAAATACTGATGAATGAGATGCCAGTCCCTCACCAATCCAAAATAGTATCAAATATATGATTTATTGTTGAGAACAAGTGAATTTCTGGTGTATGTATAGGGAAAACCCAAACCGACACAAGCGGGAACCCTACAAGAAACGATTTGGATCGAACAAACCATGGAGTCTTATCGGGATTTAGAATTAGAGACTTGTGATAAGATTATTGCAAGCTGAATAATCCGTGGTTATGTTATATGTAAAAAGATACATGTGCATGTACTTATTAATCAATCTTAGCCAACCAGCACGTACGATAATAGAAATATACACTACTAATTCACGTTGTATAATTCTGGTATGTATACCAACCAATCAAAGTAGCTGTAACAAATGGGCTTGACTCCCTATATATACAGTGTGGTTTTCACTTCCTCGTTTACATGCTGTTTGTTGACGGACAATACAGCCGTGAGCTTCATTGCTGTCGCTGGGTAAGTACTGATTCTTCGTTCCTCCTAAAAACATTATCTGCGAGAATATTTACTTACCTCTTCATACTCTGATATTGGTTGATATTGTTACGTTCTGTGGGAGCGTAAACGTGTTCATTTATTGAGTTCATCCTGCGGGAGCGAGTCTCTAACTATTTTGTTGAGGTGGTGTAGTTCAACATGGCGGACACCACCGAGCAGTCCACCTCGGTGGAGTTAATTAAAGAGAAGGCTAAGTCTAAAGCTATGTCCAATAGAAAGCCAGAAAATACAACGACTAACCTACCAGACACACAGCAACAAGTAACTCAAATGACCTGGCGTTATTGATTGGTGAGTTACGAAACATGAATACTAGCATGAGCAAAGGATTTTCCAGCATGCGTGAATCTTTCCAGTCGGTGCGAGAACAGTCTCAAAATTATGATAATGACGACTATGATTACGATATTTATGAGGGCGATGGTGACAATTTTGACGAGGAAAATCATGAGCATGATCACCTGATCCCGTTAGTCAACTCTTACGACAAGCGTGGGCTACTGAAGAGCAGTTCGGATCTTCACGGGTGGAAAGCGCAAGTTAACATTAACTAATGAGTAGGCGTTACTATTTCTCTGGAATCCTTGTGTGGGAGGAAATAACTACTTGATGATCTTCTTAGAAGTTTGTATCTTTGGTCAAATCAAGCTACTGAGAAACCTGGAATTAAGGAGGATTCGAACCCACAATAAATGGCTTCTGACACCTATAAGGGACAAAACTTTGCATCGCAAATACTGATGAATGAGATGCCAGTCCCTCACCAATCCAAAATAGTATCAAATATATGATTTATTGTTGAGAACAAGTGAATTTCAGGTGTATGTATAGGGAAAACCCAAACCGACACAAGCGGGAACCCTACAAGAAACGATTTGGATCGAACAAACCATGGGGTCTTATCGGGATTTAGAATTAGAGACTTGTGATAAGATTATTGCAAGCTGAATAATCCGTGGTTATGTTATATGTAAAAAGATACATGTGCATGTACTTATTAATCAATCTTAGCCAACCAGCACGTACGATAATAGAAATATACACTACTAATTCACGTTGTATAATTCTGGTATGTATACCAACCAATCAAAGTAGCTGTAACAAATGGGCTTGACTCCCTGTATATACAGTGTGGTTTTCACTTCCTCGTTTACATGCTGTTTGTTGACGGACAATACAGCCGTGAGCTTCATTGCTGTCGCTGGGTAAGTACTGATTCTTCGTTCCTCCTAAAAACATTATCTGCGAGAATATTTACTTACCTCTTCATACTCTGATATTGGTTGATATTGTTACGTTCTGTGGGAGCGTAAACGTGTTCATTTATTGAGTTCATCCTGCGGGAGCGAGTATCTAACTATTTTGTTGAGGTGGTGTAGTTCAACATGGCGGACACCACCGAGCAGTCCACCTCGGTGGAGTTAATTAAAAGAAGGCTAAGTCTAAAGCTATGTCCAATAGAAAGCCAGAAAATACAACGACTAACCTACCAGACACACAGCAACAAGTAACTCAAATGACCTGGCGTTATTGATTGGTGAGTTACGAAACATGAATACTAGCATGAGCAAAGGATTTTTCCAGCATGCGTGAATCTTTCCAGTCGGTGCGAGAACAGTCTCAAAATTATGATAATGACGACTATGATTACTATTTATGAGGGCGATGGTGACAATTTTGACGAGGAATATCATGAGCATGCCAGCAGTGATTTTCGGTCAAGTGTCGATCCGTTTCAGTCATTGTATGACGATACGAGTAGAGCAAGCGGTGGTGGTGGTGGAATTGGGTTTAACGTCGTGATTGAGAATATTTCGCTCATATGACGCCGTGCATGCGTGAGTATGTGTATGTGCGGCTGCTTGTACTAGCCCAGACTTTAGTACTGGTTTTATAGTGCTAGCCCACTGAGATACCATGCCACAGTGAAACATGAATACCCCACTCAGACACATTATACTGACTCCAGAGCCGACCAGTCCTTGATGTACCCATTAATGCCGAGGCGCCAGGCAGGGACCAACAAGTACCGTATTTTAACGTCTTTTGGTATGACGCGGTCGGGGATCGAACCCGCGACCTTCCGCACTCCGGGCGGACGCTCTGCTCCACTACACCACGGAGGCGGTCAGTAGAGCAAGCGTTGTTTCTCCTGTTGAGGACCATGATTTCCAGTGCGATGCGGGACAGTCGGGGTTTGTCTGAAGGACTGGGTACGCAGCAGTCATCCTACAATTAAGCTCAAATAGTGGAACTGCTGTTTAATCTAATCTAAAACCTAGACAAAACTGTGCTGGCGATTTGGTGCCTGACTCTGAGGGTGTGGGTTCGAATCCCGGATGGGACTCAACCCAAAAAGTACTAGAATTTGTACGTTACTAAGAAAGTCAACCACCTTGCAGCAATTGGATTTGGGCTTGGTGTGACAGCGATCGGACGTGTTTCTTAGTAGCTCTCGTCAACCAGCATTTATACATAGAATACTACAGTATCCCTGAAAACGAAATCTTCATTGAACTATATATACCATATTAAAGTGGACAGCTGTGTATAACACAGGGTGTACAATGGATGGACAAGTTCCCTGTGATTTCACACACACTATGGATCCCGTACCTGGCCACTTAGGACATATTCACCACGCACAATTCAACGGACAAGGGAATGTTCATGGATCTCAATACCAGGTCAGTCCTGATACTAGCCAACCTATCTGGGTTAAACCATTACTCGACCAAATGAAGCATCTTACAAGTATGGTCCATTTTCTTCAACAACGCATGCAATGTGTCGAAAGTATCGACTGTTAACTTCTCCAGGATTTGACAAGGATTTGACAAGAAACTTACATCGCTTGATCGCTCGATCATAGAGACAATATCACATGTTGACAAACTTGAAACGTGTGTGAAAACCGCAGTTTCAAAGTGTGATGATGTTAAGTCTGAGACACAGAAGCTGAATCATACACATGAGGGAACTAGAAAGTTTTTACACCGAAGATCGTGACAGAACTACAAGAGATTTTGATGATGTTTTCTATGACATTGAGTAGAATAGGGAATAAAGGTACGGGACTAAAAAGGTGCACCAAGCCGATAAGCTCCAAACTAGCCAACTCGGCTCCCAGAGCCACAAAAAAATGGTGTTTCGCACAAAAACTGCATTTGAGTTTTTGGAACACTTTTGTTTGCATTGTGTTTTCTTTGTGGTTCCGAGTAGTTTATCCAACCCCAAGACAGGTATACGGAAAATAAAAACACCAGTATGTCGATGCAAGTGCACTCGAATTAGAGATACACAGGTACATAGGTACCCATGATGGTCCAGGTTAGAATATTGGCCTTCAGTAACCCATGCTTGTCGTAAGAGGCGACTAACGGGATCGGGTGGTCAAGATCGCTGACTTAGTTGACACTTGTCACTGGTTCCCAATTGCGCAGATCGATGCTCATGCTGTTGATCACTGGGTTGTCTGGTCCAGTCTCGATTATTTACAGACCACCGCCATATAGCTGGAATATTGCTGAGTGTGGCGAAAACTAAACTCACTCACTCAGGTATATAGGTATAGAACACAACAAAATGCCCCGAACCAAGCTATCGCATAAAGCCTATGCCGAGATCCGATCGGGCCATTTGTCCCTTCAGGAAGCGAAGAGGAAGTACCACATATCGCAAGCCCGATATACGCGAATCCGAGGTGGTATAGACCCAGAGCCACAGACAATGACAACTTCCGACATGGCCGAAGTCTTCGAGAGCCTGCTGGAGAAGTGTCCCCACGTATTGCTTTCGGACCGAGAGAAACAAATCCTGGAGAAATCAGGACACCCCTTCTACGAGCGCTACCAAATACCTCGCCAGTTTCTGGAACTGTATTTGCTGTACTTTCGCCAATTCGTAGAAGACGGCAAAATAGTGGATTTCGTCTACCTCTACCCACCCAACCAATTTCGCCCCGCGGCAGGCAAACTCCGCATCGTTCTCGCGGATGACTACTGTTGCCTGGAACCCAAGGACAGACACCACCGATGCACCGACTGCCTGGCCACTCAATCGGAACTCCCCACTCTCTTCGAGCGAGACAACTCTACGTGCAAGTGCGGCGCCATCGACCACTGCGTCGACAGCAAGAAATGCTTATTTTGGAAAAAGAAAGTGATAGACTACACACCCACCCCAGGAGGAGTGACTTCCATTCGATGTTCAGGAAGAAATCGCGATCCCCTACCGTCTCTCAACATAGAGAACCTGTACAACGACAACAGCCTCTTCTGGTGCCTGGACTAACAACGCCTCGTCGACAAATTGGCAGACAATTGTCCATGCAACAAGAAGAGTGTTGTACCTTCCAACAGCTATCGGGAAAAGCAGAGCCACCCGCGAGGACGGGGACGGCATACTGCCCCTTGCCATCTATGGCGGGCCCAAGGATATGGAAGTAGCAGCCCCTCCATGCAAGGAACACCGACAAGCCGCAGTCATTCCAAAGGAATCTTACATTTTGGGAAAACAATGTAAAAAATTCCGAGGAAAAACCTACGGCCGTCTTTCAAATAAAAAACGGCTCATAAATGCCAGTAAAGATTACACACGTCGCCTTTTAAAATTTTCAAGACTATACTCCAAAAGCCTTCAAGATAAATTTATTAAATTAGAAAAGTCGGATCCTCGTTCCTTTTGGAAACTTTTAAAAGGTAAATAAGGTGACACGACAAAGCTTCCAGACAAACAATTACTTTTTTTGATTTTTTTAGAATGTTTAATGAAGGACCAGGAAATATTGATTTAGACACTAACTCCATTAACGATTTCGATATTAATGACAGCGCATTGCTAAATGGTACCATAACAAAGGAAGAAATTATTGCCTCAGTTACAAAACTGAAAAATAATAAAGCTGCTGGGCTTGATGATGTCATAAATAAGTACATTTCTTCCACCATTGATTTATT